GAAGGTAAGCAGAGCCTAGGGGGTCAAAGTGTACAGAGCAGACCCCCAAGGTTTGATGCTCGCAGTTTCTCCTGTGATCATCAAAAGAGAGAAGTATGAGATCTGATGCTGATGCTTCAATTAAAACAAGAAGTGGGTTTTAGAATTTTTTTTTTTTTTCACTGCTTTTATGATTGTAAGTTGACAAGGCTGAAAGTTTTCTGAGGTAATAGGTTAATCAGAATTGCTGTTATGGTTTACTTAGTTCTGTGTGCCCTTCTGTATGCATGGTGCAAGTGGAGTCTTGATTCCTTTGCTCCCAGTGGGGCTTTACAGCAACTGGTCTGCAACATGTTACAGGTTGCAAGGGAGACCATTTGAGCTTTGACTGTGTCCAAAAGCTTGATTTCCAGGTTGCTTGAAATCAGATAGATAGGTTTTGACAGTTTCAGCAATCACTCTGGGATAAATTTCTTTCTTCCACATTCCTGTTGTCTTTTTCTTCTAAAAGAACAAATCAGAGCCTGTGGAGAGCCCCAGATCATTACATATCCTCACTGGATTTCTTTTTACTCCTTCATTATAACCTGCTTATAGGCCAGTTGAGAATCTGTTGCTGGCATTTGATAGTGTTCTTAACCTGAGAGTAAGAAGCGTGTATGTATGTGTACATACAAGAAATACATACTAAGATGATTCCCAAATAAATCTTCAGATAGAATGCTTCTTGAGAGAAGCAGAGTAGTGTCCATAAAATCCCCCAGCTTCTGCACCAGGACCTCTGGTGATCTCTGGCAGGATTCTGCAGGACCTTAGTTTAGAGCTGATCATCTGCTCAGCTGTTGTACTGCCTCTTGCTCTCTGACATGTCTTTTTGCACAGGTTTTCAAGAGCTTGCCTGTGTTAACATGTCCTTGTGAGGGTGAGCCCATATGTAAACAGTGAGCAGCTGCTGTGAATAACGTCAGGTTTGCTCCTATTGAAGGAGATGAAGAAATTAGTGAAGAGGCATCTGTGAACTTTGGTGTTAGTAGATATTTTCTAACATTTATTATTTATTAACAGATATTAGCAGAATGCTATCCTGAAGTGAGCTGATATTACCAGATTATGGATGGTAGAAGTGTCACAGAGCCTCATAATTTTTTAGTTTGTTTTTCAACTCTTTACAAATATTTTACTGCATACTTGCAAAATGGCAGCATCATCACACTGAGATGATGAACCTGTGATTTATACTGATGGAGGTTTCTGTGCATGCTGCAATCAAGAAAGGTCGAGAGTACATGCATCACAAGCCTGAATAAATTGCAAATCCACATCAGACTGATTTTAGCAACTGTAGTTGCCTCTGGCTAGAGGTTAAAGTTGTCTGCTTAAATCACAGTTTGTTCTGAGCTGGGAAAAGCTTTGTGCAATCCTGGATACACCAGCATCAAGGTGTCTCTCCTGCACACGCTGCTGACACTGGCCCTGTGCTTTCTTTGCTAGTATTCCTGCTTCCAGCATCTCTCTTACTGCCACATTTTCCTGTTGCACCTATTGTCCTTGTGACTGACAGTAACTCAGTCTCAGCAGAACTTTAAGCAGAGGTTGTGAATGTATTACGCAACTCGGAAAGCTCTCTGGTGGCATCAGTATGGGCATCGTAGAAAGATGGAGTGTGTAAATGCTGTTGAGCCTGGGAGGAATTAAGATTTTCGGAGTGTTAAGTATGCTTGTAAATATTCAGTCTAAACATATTTTCAAACTGGCCCTCAGTTGGCTGATGCTGAACTTCTGGGGGCTTCCTGCCAGTTCTACGCCCCTCTAGAGGTTATGTTTCTTACCATCCATTTGTAAGAACTTCAGAAATGTTAGGCTGATTGTCCTCAAAACATCTTCAAAATGTGGAATTGTCTTTCTTTTCATAATGGGGGATTTGGATGGATATATATCTATATCTATCTATCTATAAATATATATACCAACAGATGTTTCTCATAAACATGTGAGTTGGAGATTTAACTTGCTTAGATCTTCTGATCATGCTTAAATTTTTAAAAGCCTTTAAAATTTTATTTACTTGACAATGGGCAGAAAAGAAAATGCATGTTAGAGTATTGAATTTTCTTCTCTGTCTCACTGACAGATGTCCTAGCCCTATTTCTCCTTTCCAGATGGTCTCTAAATACCAGTCTGCCTTTCAGAGAGCAATTATAACACTGAGCCTATAAATGGAGGGGGGAGGATTGGAGGGAGAAGGGGAGAAAGTGGTCTCTTTGATCTCCTGAAGTCTTTCACTTTCCTCTTTTGATAAAGGAATTTATATTTTGCGTGTCAAAGCATACAGATCTGTGTCCTGTCTGATCTCTTTCCATAGGTGGCATTGGAGAAGCAGTGTGTGCTGCAGTAGTGGGTGAGCCTGGTGTCACAGTCAGTCGCTTGGCTGTATCTCATGTACCACGGAGTGGGAAGTCAGCTGAGCTGCTGAAGATGTTTGGTATTGACAAAGATGCCATTGTGCAAGCTGTTAAGGTGGCAGTGTCCAAATCAAGAAATGCAGAGTAGTTTGAAGCATCTTATGTTGTGTTGCAGAGAAAAAAAAAAAACAACAGTGTTCAGAGAAGTACTGTAAAGTTTAAGTCAGGCAAAGGTGCTTTATGTAGAGTTCTAATAAAAATACCAGCTTAAACCTTCTGTATTTCCTTTTCTTCTGTGGGTTTTTATACTGCAGTAACATCTGAATGCTTTCAGTCACTGGAACCTTCAGATTATTTGGCCACTGGTTGGTAGCAGTGCTGTGTGCCTACTGTAGAGGCAGTTTTTTGTACTTTACAGCTAACTTCTCTTGCTGCAAGCTCTAGGGTGGGAATGGTTGTGTGTTCAGTGAATTTCTAAGCGGGCTGAGCTTCAGCAAGGAAATTGGGTAGTGGGCATAAGAGCCTAGAATGATGGGCATAGAAGCCTAGATTTTTGATGTTAACTTGAATTTGCTGTTGAATATTTAAAACCTTGTCTTGAAGGGAGCTGGGCAAAAACCAGAATTCTTTCCTTGCTGCCAAAACTCATCTGGACAGAAATGTTACTTGTTGGATAATGAAAAGCAGAATGTGTATTGCAGGAAGACAGTGGCTAGTGCATTCTCTGATTCCTGTTTTCTGCATTGCCTCACATCCATTACAAACAAAAGAGAAAGAGGAAGAAGTCTGGGTAATGTGAGCATACTAGAGGGAAATGTACCTGTTCAGGGGAGCCAATAGAGGGAGGTGAATGCTCAGCAGAGCTCTAGAAATGACTGATAAGCTGGGAGCTCAAGAAGGATTTGCTGGACTTGGGGAATGCTGGCTGACACAAGTTCAAGCTCTTTTAAGGAGTTTGAAACTCTTCGTAGGAACTTGTATCATATTTTTGAATGCTTGGCACTGCTGCAGCAGGGGTGATGCATGAAACCAGAATGGCAGTGTTGTCTTTGGTCAGGAGGCAGAAATGTTTAAAATGCTGAGAGGGACTGAAGAAGAATCTGAAAGAACATCAGGAAATTCTTAGAGTACCCAAGAGGATACAGCTGAACGGGTAAGTTACTTTTTACATAGAAGCAATTCTTCTCGTGTGATCTGCTCTGTGTTGGGTGTAGTTGTTCATCCCCCACGATAAGTTCTACTATGTGATTTTAAAATGTTTTTCCACTTTGATTTTGCCCTTAACAGCTTCTGGTTGTTTTCATTCTCTTGACTGCTGAGTACCGCATTTGGACATTTGAAATCATATTTCATATGAAGAAACGTTTCTCATTCTGACTATGCCACAGCACAAGAGACATCCAAAAAGAAAAATAAACTCAAATAATGAGAGCAGGATGGCAGTATACATAGTTTTCAGTTCACTCAAAAACCGTTGTACACAAACAGTCCTACACTGGTCTCAACAAGACTTTATTTGCAGACTGAAAACAACAGTAATTTGATGTGAGAAAGTATTTCTATGTATGCATGTAATATAATGTACATGTAAATGAGAATATAAATATTACAAAATAACTTGTATTTATCCTTATTGCTTAATTTAATCCCTGTCATGTTAGGTAACTGCTGTGCTGTGTTGGTACAGGCCTGCACACAATTGTTTCTATTTATGGGTGTGCAAAAGGAACTGCAATACTTAGGAATGATAGATATTGGTGCTTACAGTTAAGTACCACTCCTGAAAAGTAGGCTTTTTAATTTTCTGAGCAAGGCTTGAAAATGTTTCACTGAACTAAAGCTGGGCTGTTAGGGCTGATGGCTTTTTAGATCTGCATTTTCTTACAGTTTCGTGTTTTATGATTCTGTCTGATTTTGATGCCTTCCCCTATGGTTATGAAGACCTCATGTTTTTACTAAAAATGTGAAGGTAAACTGCTTGATTTTGCTTTGCTTTATATTAGTCCTACATATGTATACAATTGATTAAAAACTAAAGAGAATAATTGAAATATTATAGTGTATTTTATGCAATGCATGATGTCCCCATAAGCTAGAAAAAAATATATTTTATCAGAAGGAAAAAAAAAGTTAGGGGGTGGGTCAAACCAAACATTTTATTTCTCTCCTCTTCAAAGAGATGAAATTTGCTGCTGTTAACAACCTCATTAATGCACCATTATGTCACTGCATGTAAAATCTTGCCCAGCTTTCACTGGGAGAAATCATTATATGCCCACTATATTAAGTTCTGCCACAATAGATTAATCTGCTTCAGTGCTATTGCACTGCTGGGGCTCAACTGTGTAAGCAGGCAGCTGGTGTCTGCCTGACTTGCAGCATCAGAAGGTTGAAGAGGAGGTGGCTTTCTGGTGCCAAGATTCCTACTGAAACATCCAGAACCAGCTGAAAATAGTACAGGCTTTGTGTTGATTTTCATACACCACGGCTGGACTTAATGTGAATAAACGTGGGAGGGAAGGAAACAAATGCTTGTATTGAGCAGAATTAAATATAAGCTTGGATCTAAATAATTTTACGAGCTCAACTGAGTTACAAATCTCTTCAGTTTTAACTTCATTTTTGAGTGGACTGAATATATTTCTATTGTTCAGTGTTTCAGTGTTTTGTGTTAGCTGTTATGATTTTATGACTGCCTGATAAAGCAGTTCTTTTAATTCTATAAATCCAAACAGGAGAGTTTTGTTGAATTCTTCTGAAATGCTCTTAGGCAGCTTTCCTCATACCTGCATGGTGATGAAAAAAGAAGACTTGTCAAAACTGTTGTGTTTAAAATTAGGTGTCACATATTGACTGTAAGCCCTTGTTGCAACTTCTCAGCACTCCTCAGCTCTTGTGTTCATGAACTTGGACATGAGCCTGGAGCCTGTTTAAAAAATCAGCAAAAAGAAACCACCCCCTTTCACTCAATTTTAAATGGAGCTATAGACCTTGAATTCAGACATTTTCAGGGAATAGCTGAAGTCCCCAACAGAGCAGACTATTAAAAATGTGAAAATGCTCTGCCGTGTGGAGAGTCAAGAATAATTAATTTCCAAACTCCAGCAGCTATAGTGGACTGTAATGTTTTATTTTTTTATTGAAATGATGCCATTGTAATTTCGAGTTGTTGATCTTGAGAGTTAACCAAAATAGTTTCATTCATTTCCTAACGAGGAAGGTCTAGGGACTTAAGAATGCAGGCAGTAAGATCAGTTACCTGTTGGCCTGAACTTCTCGATCAGAGGAACAAAACCATCCAGCACGCTCCGAAGTCGATACACTAAGTGTGAAAACACATTTTTTTCCAAGATAAGCCAGATATAAACATAAAACACAAAACACTGAATAACAGCTAAAGCCAAACAAATGCCGGTTGTACCATTAAGGAACCTAAGATTACTGTTTGTCACTGTCTGTGACATCACTGATAGCAAAGTAGTGACAAGTGTAATTCCACATTGAACCATCCACAACCTACCAAAAGCTGTAGCACAAACTTAGAGGCTTCTGTTCTCAGTTTGAAAGCCGTGCCTTGCTGCTGTCTGCATCTTTCCTTTGAGATACCTAGGGATAGCCAAGAATCTTTCTCGTGGTTTTTTTTTTTTTTTTCTTTAATATAAAATTCTTAGTAACTGCCATCATCCAGGTTCTGCTGGAATTTGATCCTTGGGGTGTTCAGCAACCCCAGTCCTGGGGGAATGAACAGCAGCTCAAGTGCACAGCCCCTTAAAGAACGTATTCTGCAAAGACTGCCTCACTGCTAAAGTGACATGTTGTCATGGCAGCACAGCATTCTGCCATTGCTACCAGAGAGGTGACTCAAGGTCTTGTGACCAGTGTGAACCACATCTGCCTTTGGTGTCACAGAGGCATGTTTGTTTTCAGCCACGCTGTGTAATTGTGAATGAGACAGGCAGGTTAGGTGATGATTTAAAGAATCTCAGCAGTAGCCATTTTCTAGACTTGTGCAGTTAAGTGACTGCGTGCCCTCGTATCCATCACGTTGGTACAGAACTGGCTGTTGTAGATACTTACCTAGACCAAAATAAATCCCAGTGGTTTCCAGAGAAGCAAAGGTGATTAAACCAATTCCAAGAGAAATTGTCCAATCTAAGACAACAAAATAGGTGTTTGGCTTTGTGCACTTTTTGGACTGCAGCAATTTAACCTTCTGTTGAAGCCTTGCCTTACCTTTGTAGTAGTAGTAGCAAACTAGTAAAGCTCCAATTGCGAAGCAAAGAATAACAAAATGAAAGAATTCATCTGAAATAGAGAGGGGAAATTAGGTCACAACTGCTGGCACTGTTCCCTTAGGAGTACACGTGAGGTTCTAATGTATCAGTCAGTGAATAAAGCGTACTTCTGTGAGGGATGTCTCATACAGTAAGGTCAACATCACAAACACAGCTTGTCATGTGAGAAGCTTTAATGGCCTTCGTCAAGAAGGCCCAATGACCTTCAACAAACTATTCAAGTTGAGAAGTTTTTTGAGCTAGGAAAATTATTCTTGGTCTACTGTTCAATGGGATTGATGTCAGCTGAATTAAAAGAATTACCATCCTTGCGTATGCCCATCCACCGTACTGTCCACCATTGAGGGTGAATGTTCTTGTTCCCATATGCTGTGAGAAAGAGAGGTCTTTTATTGCAATGTAACTATGAAATTCAGGCATTTTAAGTTTCTTTCCCTTTTTGTAGCTAAGAATCTGAGAGCAGAATATATTTAAAAAAAAAAAAAAAAGTATGTTCAGAGGAAAAAGCTGCAAATTTTTTAGGGAGATCAAATTAGCAGTTTTAAAATTTCTCCCCAAACTACTTTCCAAATGGTCTGTAGCAATTGTAAAAACAGCATTATTCAATTAATAATTCCAAATTGCTTTTAAAGAACTCCAGGTCTTTCCTGTTAAGTCTGGGGCAATCGTGGTCTCAGAATTACAGTGGGCAACTAAAGCAAAGGTACAAGGGAGCTTCAGTTTGATTTGTGATGTCACTTAAACAACAGTAAAATGATCTTCATTATTATCAATACATGAGTATTATCAGTCTATCTACTTTGGTCTAATATTACAGTATTTCTGCACCTCCCAAATTAAGAACTGTTGTAGCTGGCAATTACTCTTATGGGTATCTAATTATGTCAATGCAGAGGAAGAAGAACGTAAGAACAAGCTTGGTATTTTTAAAGTTTCAAGTATAATGATTAATGTTAACATAGCATGGCACTACTTTAACTCACAGATGTTCCTCTGCATGGTTGTCTATGTGAAGATTTGTAGTGACAGAACTTGTGTGAATTAATGTTCAGACCTGTTATGTGTCTGTTGTGTTACTCTGCCTCCTGGATGCAATAGTACCGTGGTAACTTCGCATCAGATCGTATTTTGCGCAGTATTTCTCCTGTCAAAGCACTATAACACATTTTAGTAATTGTTCTTAAAGCTTCTACTTTTTACTTACAAAATACCTAAGTACCTAGGAGCTGGTATAGCTATCACTGCTAAGTAAAACTGAATGCTGAAAGACCACATTCACAAGAAAAACTTGTTTTGCTTGTTAGTATTTACCATCTGCAGTTGAATCTTCTCTTCTGGTTATTTCTGAAAAGCAACATAGTTGCATTATTTCTGTGATAAAAACACAGCGGTACTGTCAAGCTGGATGAATATTCTGTTCTAGGACTCAGTAAAATAGCACTAGAAACTGCCACAAATTTGATGAAATCAGAGCCCCAAGGTAAGATAATGGAAAACACTTATTTGCAGTGGTCCCAGGTAGCTGGAATAGCTGGGCAGTAGATGATTGATGACTTCCCTGTTAATGTTTGGTTGCTAGAACTGAAGTTGGAACTGGTCTGAGTCAGAAGTGAGCTGTGTCCACAGATCACATGAGCCTTTCAAATGCAGTAGACAGGGTGTCCAGTACTAGCTAAATATTTTCAATGGCTTGGTCTAGTGTACTGAACTAATCTAGCGCTGAAGTAACAAAGGCTGCAGAGAGAGGTGACGCAGCGGGGACAAAAGCCAGCTGCAGAATTGCTGCGTTCCTTTCTGCACCTGGCAATGTGGGGAAAATGTTGAACTGCAGTACACACACTCCTCTGCTCCTGTGTTCTATGTTCTCCTCGCTGATGGGCAACTCGGAATTCTCCCCTAAGGATTTTTCTGCCATTTACACTCTCTTTCCTTAGCTGAAAAAGTCTGAGTTACAGCAACTCTTCCCCACTTTGCAGAAAAGAACTAGTCGAACAGCTGTCCTCGCAGAAGGGCCAGCCTTCTTTTTGCACTAATCAATGTGGAATTGACCTGGGATTGAGATGGATGATGTTATAATGTGATCAAGCCATTGAAAATTTTCTATCGTGGTTGTCTTACATCAGTTCTGCTGCTGCTTACAGTCCCTTACAAAAGGAAATATGCCTTCAGAGTGCAACCACCTGGTCAAGCTCTCAGTGGGACTGCTTCTGTTGACTATCATTTGGCTTTCAGCTAGCATCTTGTTTTGGAGAATGCTCTGAGCTAAGTGAGTTAGGCATTCAGAACTCAGTATCACCAGCTGGCAGAAACCAAGTTTCCAGGTTGCCCAGTAGTGTTGCTAGGATTTCCACTAGAAAGGATTGCAACTGCTGTGAGCTGATCCTCGTCTCTGGCAGTGCTACCAAAAAATGGGTAATTTTGCCCAGGGCCAACACCACACCAATGGGAACATAATGGATTTACAATCAGTTGTTATTCTATATTTAAAAAAAAAATCAAAAAGAAGGAGCTATGTTAACAAAGTTTTCCTTCCTGCGGGATGAGGTTCTTATCTGGGAACACCTACCTGAATCTCCGTAGGGAACAACCTCAGCTGGTATACCTGAAATATTGTGGACAGAGGATGCAGGTTAATGTCTACAATAAACGTGCATATTTTGCTGCCAATCCTAACCCAAGCCACTGTGCTGAAATAAGCGTGCTTGTGTCAGTGTGAGCTGGTGGATGCCAACTCCTGCTCTTCAGAAGGAGGTCTGTTGTGGTGGGTTATGCAGATCTAAAGGAGATGTGAACGGAGTATTGACACCACACGTTTCTTATCAAACAGTAGCTGGAGTCAGGCAGAATCAGATTCGTGTGAGATGAATTAAACCTGCTGTTAGTTTAAGTGAACTACTTTTATATCTGGGGTGGAATCAATTTAAGATACATATTAAATGATTAAAGGCTTGAATTTTCTTTTTTTTTTTTTTCTCTAAATCAGTGATTCTATACCAGTAGCTGATGGCTGTGTTGACACAACATCTTTTCTGCACTGCACTTCTTTTTCAGTTTATCTTTTGGAAAGAATGGAAGAGCCTCAGGACCAAGATTCAAAGAGTGGTCCTCGCTGATGATCTCTGGTCTGTGTAGAGAGTGGAAAGCAAACCCTGTAAGTAGTGGCTGTGATAGATGCTTTCAAAACTCTTTTGCTGTGTTTCATTGGTGACTGTGCAGACCCAGGCAGCAGTAGTTCTCCCACAGTGCTAGATTTTGTTGTTCTTATAGTTCAGTTCTAACCACGGGCCATGGCTAAGCATTACTATTAGTTTCATCTTGCAAGAAATGCCTTTCCTGCAGCCAGATTCTGACTCACTGTTTTCCTACGTCTCATGCTGCCTGTAGAGTGTTAATCTACCACTGTTCTGAAGTCAAACCAAAGAATTCCAGAAACTATTTGTTTTCTATTTTATACTTGTTTTCTCTTAAAAAAAAAAAAAAAAAAAAAAAAAAAGAGTAACAGTGTTGACACTTTGTCCCACCTCCAAGCAGTTGGCCTTCAGTCTTGTGTCTTCCTAAATCTTCTTCATCACTGTCTGGATAGATAAAATGATTAAATTAAAGTCACACACAGTCATTAGGGGTTGGAAGGGATCCCTTATGATCACCTAGTCCAACCCCCTGCTAAAGCAGATTCCAGAGAGAAGATGAGCAAACAACCTGCTGTGATAAGAGCACTTGGTATAAGACACAACTCTGATGTAGAGATTGCCACCAATTTGTGTTGCATCCAAAGCAGAACAGGAAAAAAAGTGTGAGTTTAAGAAACGGTAAACAGTTCAAGGAAGATGGATTATTGTGGAGATAGCAAGCAAGAAAAGTGTACTAGCAATACCAGAAACAGTAGTGGTATAGCTTTTTGCTCACAATATAATAATGGTCATGGGATATTTAAATAAAAAATGAGGATTTGGTAGTGCAAACATTATTATTGGCTGCTTTTGCCTTACTGCTCTCTTTAAATCTAGCTGAATTGAAGAAAAACAGTAAAATCAAACACCAAAAGATGATGGAATAGATCATATAAAGAAGTGTTAGCAAGACGTCTTATTTAGAACACAAATATATCATCAGCACTGCTAACTGGTTTTAAAATTTTGTTTCTGAACACAATTACTGGTAATTAGTGCATGGCTTTTTGTGACAGAATAAGCCAATGCAGCAAAAACTCATTTCCATGTCGCCTGTCATCTTTTAGCCTCTGGTTTTCCATGAAGGGAAATGGCTTGAAGGCAACCAAAGTGACCTTTGATACACCATTGATGATTGCTAGGAAGTACTGCAGCACTGTCATTGACTATCTGCCTCCTGCTGTAGCACTTCAGCTAGACCATAAACATCACAAAAAACATGGTCCTGTGTTTACAGAGGAAATTTGCAGCAGCTTTCAGCACTTCTTGGTCCTCCGATTTCCCAACAACAGGAAGCAACCATTATTTTGTTAACAATAAATAAATCTAGAGATAGTGATTATTTTCTGTGTCTTTTGCACAGTTTATTTCTTCGGGGTTATACCAGATGGCTACTGAATTGTTGCAAGTCTCTGGTGTCAGTCTCCTTAGAACACGTAATCAGACTAAGTTATGTGCCAGGGGAAAACGATCTTTTTTACCGCGTGTATCTTCATCTGTGGATTCCTGGGAGGAGTTTTCAGCCTTTTTATCCTCTTGTGAAAGCATGAGATTTCTTTCCAATCTCTTGAGGAGTTTTAATTTTTCATCTGTTATGATATACAGACAAAACAAAAATGGAAATTTTTTTGTTTTATTTATAGTGATATATTAACAGTGTTTCATAATGTTGTATTTAAGGCTTGACAAGAAATCAGAGAGAGCCTTTCAGCAGTGCTATCTGTAGTCCAGCAGCAGTACAGAGCATTACAATAGAAGCTTCACACCACTGTTTAACTGACTTAAATGATTGCAGTAGATGCTTAGGTCTCGTATTCTTGCCTTTAATTTACCCATAATGTTACCCCTGTGACTTTTCCTGCTGCCTAGACCAGCAGCATCTGCAGCTGAAAGGTGATTTAGATGGACAACAGCTGCTTTCCTGCTCCTGGGCTACTCCTCCCTCCAGTGCTCCGATTTCTGCAGGGCTCCTGTGGCTGTGCTGCAGTGCCAGCACCCTCTCGTGGCATAAAAGCAGAACTCGCAATGTCAGCTAAACCAAAAACTATGTAGGCTGCTGAGTCCTGGGCTGGGCAGTGCGGTGCTCCTGGCTCCTGTGGCTGGAGTTACAGGTGTTTCTTAGCAGCTCTAACTTCAGTTCTGTGCTGAGTCCTGGCAGGTCTGTGCATCTCTTCATTGTTAGTTGTAACATTTGGACATAGCCAGAGACACAATTTCCCCCACTTCCCTCAGTTGTCAGCATAGCTCACTGTGTTAGAATTGGGAATTGGGTCCCTGTCAGCACAAGCAGACCTGCTGTGACAAATGCCCCAAGAAGGGCTGCTTTTCGGGCTATGGGACGTCTGCCCTATGTGAATGTGTTCCATTCTGAAGAAGAGAAGAGGGCGCCTCCTTGAAGGTGTCCAGTTAAATTCAGGGTCACCTTAAGTGAGTGCACCTTCATGCTGTATTAAAGACAGCAACTCTGTGGACTCCATGGAATTGTTTATCACACAACATGGCAAGTGGGAAGCGTAGTGGAACCTGGCTCTTGTTGCCAGGCTCAGCAACCTGAATTGCATCTTCTGCCTGCTGGTTTTGGTTAGTGCTGTGCTGCACATCCTACTAGAGACATTTTCAGAGGCATTTACAGAGCTTGACCCTGATTTCTTACTACAGCAGCTCAGAGAGGTCCAAACTGGCTGGGGAATGGTCCATGCAAAGCAATGTCCTGGCTGTCATTAGCCCAGTTAAGAAAAAAAATGAGGGATTGCTCTAAGTCTCAGAAGTTCCTGGGCTTCATCCTTTACACCTGAGTGAACAAGGGCTTGGGTTGTTTTTTTTTTTTCTCCCCTGAAATTAACACAGACTAAAATAAAACGCCACCTATCTTTAGCTCCCATTATCCCTGACTTTTCTAAGCAATGTTTCTGTACCCATTCTCACTAATAATCACTGCCAAGCTTTGAGTTTTCTTACGGGCAATACAGTAAATTTAACAGAACAGAAGAAGTGATGCCAGGTAGGACTCACCCTTTCCCTTAGAACTGGGCAGCTGCTGATACACAGATGGGTTGGAACTCTTCAGCAAGAGGTAAAGGACTGCCATTGCCCTGACGCCTTTCATCTCTATGGCTTTCAGGCAGGCTGCACAGCCCCCAGGCAGGACGCTGCACCTGTTGAGGAGCTGAAAGATGAATAGATAGCAAATAGTCCTTCCAATAAAACACAGTGTGTGGGAACAGATCATGAAATAGAAGTGAATGAGTCTCACTGTTAGGAACGTGATCCATAGCTCCTGCTACGCAAGGGGAAAAATCAGGGACAAAAAGCAACACCAAAAGTGTGAAGAAAATGTAAACTCTATTCAGCAACTTAAGAGCATCAGTGGGGAAAGAAGCATGGTGTGCGACAGATGACTGAAGAACTGGAGAAATACAGCATAGGGCCTGAAATGGACACGCACCCCTTGTGATATCTTACAGAAGAATGTCTAAAAATATAAGAGATAACCAGGCTGTGTGGTCTCTCTCCCGAAAATATATCAGAGAAGTACTAAAGTGCCTGGAGAATGACACGAGAATCCTTTTTTTTGTTAAGGTTTCTTTAGCAACTTACACTGTTCTTCTCTTCAGCGGCCAGGATAGGTGGATCAGTGGTGGCTAAGCTTTTTACCAGTGATTCCCAGAAGGACTGGTTCATTTTCTCGTGATTCTCCAAGTAATTGTCATCAGCAATAAAAGCCCTCTGGAAAATGTCTGGGAGGAAAAACAAGTCAATCACTGCACTGAAGTAGAGGTTGGTTGCGTGAGAGTTTTCCTGTTGTGCTCAGTGTGGGTGTGGTGATAGACATCAGACTGCAGCGTTTTGGCTTATAGGAAAAAGAGCAGTGTTGCGTAGCATAAAGCAACTCAATCCACCAGAAACAGAGGGCAAAAAGGCTGATAGCCCACAATAATGGGTGTCTTTATGATGCTACCATTTCAGGAAAAGCAGCAAGGGAAGTATTTCTAAATATTGAGCAGGCATTTATTCTGATCATGCTATAAAGACGTAAGAGCGAGATTCCAACTAAAACCTACTGCTTTCTGTAAATTGTTAGGCATTTAGTGCATGGAAAAAAAACCCTTCATACATACAAGGATGTGCAAAGGCCAGATGAGAAACCTGTGGAAGAGCAGAGAACTGACCACTGGTCTGTTTATAAGCAGGAATGTGGATGGAGTGTGTTTTCAGAGGAAACAAGTCTCACTGACTCATGGTCAGTCCAGGAAAAACTGTTGTGTAGTGTGAATGAGTAGAAGCTCTGACCTTTGTGTATTATCCCTACCTTGTTGTTCTTTGCTGAGATCTGGGAGTGGGATACTGAGGTTCTCCATTTCTGTTTGAAAGGAGAAAAAAAAGCAGGTATTGTTTAGAAGATCAGTCTGACCTCTATTCTTCTGCCTTACTCTTGCTCTCCTGCAGACATGGCATCAGTTCAGAAATCATGTCTCTGTCGCAATGGCAGTTTCATATCATGGTTCATTTACCATGGACCCATTCTCTGCTCCTCCAAGTGAGTCTGGCTGGGCTGCCTTCAGTTAGGAAAGAACAAAAGTCTCATCATCATGAGTAAAACCAAAAGAAGTCTGACTTGATCATCCACAGATGTGAGTAACTTAATAGGCACAGTTGCATTCACAAAACAGAACAATTATTTGTTACCTTCGACATCGTTACATTTAAAATATACCTATCAAGGAAAATAGTAGAAGTAGTTCAGATGAGAGCCCAGCAAGATTTGGAAATCACATCTGAGAGAAGCCTTTGACATTTCATTCTCTTCTTCCCAGTTGTCATCAGAAGGATGCTTCCACAAGTTTACGTTTAGGAATTGAAAACTTTGAAATTTCAATCCCAGAAAGTTTCTTGCTGTTATCCAATAATATGGAAACAAAATTCTGACATCCCCAAAGTGCAGTGTTTCCTTTTGGTTTGCTAAACTCACCTAATACATTTATTCATTTACTTATTGAGGCAGTTTTACTCTGACAAAGCATCTTTTGTCGTGCTTGGGGTTCTGAACATGGCTGCCTCCACCTCCCGTGGTCCAGGCATCTTGCATTCACACCACCCCCCTTGTGAAGCACTTCCTATAAAGCTGTTATACTGAGTGATGCAGAAGATGACTTTTTGAGGCTCTAAAACACAGTTTCTCCTGTGCAAGGCACAATAAGAAAACATAATTTAGACACCCAAGCACTTTCTTACGACATAGATTTTGGATCCTTTCAGCAATGGACTTTTAGTCAAGCACCTTAAAAATAAGTTCTTCAAATTTTGCAGATGGACAAGTGATGCTTTTCCATAGGCAGTTTCGATGACAACCACCAGCCATAGAAATCATAGAATCATAGAGTGGCTTGGGTTGGAAGGGACCTTTAAGATCATCTAGCTCCAACCCCAAAATATTCCAAGATCTGCAACAGGTTCAGTTAGTGTCTGCAGGATGACATACTGCATACACACAAACATCTCACCTTTGGTAACGGAACAGTGTTTTAGTGTCTCAGCTCCTACAGAAAGTCAGATTCCAAAGTAAAATGAAACCTTTCCCCTCTTTAGAACCAAGGTCAGGGTCTTCTGATTTTGGTACCTCGGTGTCTCTGAGGGCTTTCTCCTTTTCTAGACTGCAAATGTTCCTCGAGTGAAGAGGTTCTTAGTTTAAAACTCTGTTTTGCCATTTGCAGTTTGACTATGAGGAAATTGCTTAACCTCTCAATCACTTCTAAAGGCTAAGCCCAAAAACTGGTCCCTACCTGCCAGGTGTATTGTGAGAAAACAAACATTTCATATTCTAACAACACTGTGAAATTATTGTTAATGATAAGTCTATGCAAGACAGCACTCACATGGGCAGATTAATACATTTTATTAAACAATTTTATTAAACAACCTGATACACCCAGAAGAACCAGCATGTTTTTGGACAAACAAGCTTTGAATCCATCCACTACTTTAATAAAAGTTACTACCTCTCCTACAAACCTTGCTGTCTTTCAGCCTTTGCTGCCTGAGCTGTGGCAGCAGCGCTGTGTGACAGCCCATGGTGGCTGTGAGCAGCCGATAGGGAATGCAGGAAGCTCATCTGTCCTCACTGCCCTGTTAAGCAACCACTGATGCTGAAATACAGGAACCAGCACACCACACCCTGGACAAACCCGTTTTCAGCACACGGTGAGGAACGTCATTTCTGTGCAGTTATATATATCCAGCAGTGGTTTTCAGCATCTTTTTGCCTTCCTATTCGCGCAGCCTAAATGCTCCAACAGTGTTTGTTTTTATAAGTTAAATCCATCAGACTTGTTCGTGGGCAGCAGGGCTGAAAACCCAGTCCAAAAGGAACAAAGTTACTTCAAACATGAGCATTGCTGTTCTGAGTTATTATTTGCACAACACATGTATAGAGATCCATGGAGTGAAAATGGGCTCACATCCACCCTTCTGCAAGTGGGGGAAGAGCAGACACATCGCTGGAAGCCTCCTTTGCTGTCAGACTGATGGACCTTAGAACCATTTGCTTGCTGACCCAACTGACCTAACTGCTCAGCTGCCCAGCAGGCAGCACCTGGACGCTGGGCTGTGCACTGGGCCCAGTGCTGCAGAGCAGCCGAGCTCCATTCAGTGCCTGCAGCAGCGTAGAGCCAGCCAGCTGCCACACTGCTGTGAGTAAGGAAGTCAGGCACCTTGCTTCGGTTAGATTATGCACAATTAATTCCCCTGTGGCACTTCTGGAAAGAAAATCAGATCTAAACAAAGGATAAGTGCTGGCACTTAATTGTTGCATGTTTTAAAAGTGATTTAGTTGATTATACCTCCTAACAAAAGAAGGATGACGCTGGCTTTTCAGCCCAGCCACGAGCTCACTGGGACTGACACAAACCACAGACCTCATCTTGTTCTCCTCAGCAGCAGCCAGACCTCACTGCAGTGAGCTCCTCATAGCACCTTAATGCTGTGTGCGGCATCAGATGTGCAGTTATTCAGAAAGATTCTATTTAGATTCTATTATGTAGGATTGTCATAGAATGCCTTGGGTTGGAAGGGACCTCACAGCCCACCAACCCCACCCATCCTCCTGGCCTTGGGCTCCTCCGGGGATGGGGCACCCACAGCTCTGAGCAAAAAGCATGAAGCACAACTGCACGCCTCAGGCTGGCCCTGGCTGCTCCTCAGGAAGCTCTCCTGGCAGGCGGTGGCAGTGGTGGAAGCTAGTGGTTTCCTTCGGTGAGAAAACAAACCCACCAGCCCCTCTGTTTGAAGCTATTCCTGTCAATGCCACCAGTGAGACAACGATGCAGGTCACCCGCCTGCCTTTCTGTCCACACCTACAGTTGCAACACGACAGAGGAGCAGCAGGGCTCTCAGACTGGCACACAGCGCCTGTCGTATGAACTGGAGCCTCACGCAACAGCACGTCCTTCTTGCCCAGCTCTCGTGCAAGCCCAGACACGGCAGCTGCTGAGCAGGGCAGCTGGTTGTGGGCTGCTGGCCGTGGCTGCGCTTCCCGACGCAATCATGGTGCAGTTTGAACGTACCTGGCGCGTGCTTCTCCTCGTGCTCGGCTCTGCTCGGCTCCTGGGCTGCTCTGAGGAAAGGAAGTGAGTTCAGCAGAAACTGAAAGAACTCAAGTTGTGCTCTGAGAAAAGTCACGCCCGTCCCAGTGCTCACCTGCCTCAGGGGAGGATCTGCAGGGCGTGCGCAGTGCCGCCTGGCACGCGGTGATGGGCAGGAAGGCGTCAGCCGCCTCCTCATGCGGCTGCGCTGACTCAGGGCAGCGGTGATCCTCAGGGGTGGCGGGAAGGAGCTGTGGGGAAGGCAGGGTGCTGCCATGGCTGGAACCCGCAGCAGCCCTTACTTACAGCCATCCTTGGACTGGAGGCCCTGGCAGCGCTGCTGCCCTCCTGGCCTGCTGAGACAACATGTACAGGCTGGTGTCTCCTCCTCCGAAGGAGAAGGCTCGCCTAGCTCAGGTATTAAGCTTGGAAACAGTCTCACACCAAGAACCCGGCTGTGCTTGGGACGTGAATGAGGCAAAGCAGGCTGTGCTGTTTATGTTTGCCAGGAGTCATTCAGAGAAACAAGAGCCTCACTGGGCGTTTGCTCCCTGCCTGCACTCAACCAAGATCGGCTCCCCAGTAACCCTCACTGAGCTTCTCTGCTAATCTGACAGCAACTCAAACATCTAAATCAGCTGAAGCAAGTAAAATGTTTGTATTTCCTCCCCGGCCTGACAATCATTTTCACTATGACAAACAGCTCCCTGAGCTCTCTTCATGCACTCTGCAATAGATTTGTACCTAAATCTTTGCTAGGCACAAAAATTCTCTGAATTTCATTGCTGGAAGATAGCTTTTTAATCACACCAGGTGTGCTTTTCTAGAAAGGCGTATAATTCCAGTGAGTGGGTGTAAATCCTCCATTTGGTGTGAAGTTAAGTGTCATTCGCTCTGCATTGTCTATCTGCTCTTAGAAAGCACCAGGAAGCAGACCAAGCTGGATCCAGCTGCCAGGCTGTGATGAGCCTGAGGTAAACAGGGGAGTTTCTCTTTGCTCTTTTCAGCAATTTGTTTGCTGTTTGTAATTCTATTAGTGGCCCCTTGAGTTCTGATAAGAGCCAGTGTTAGAAATTAGGATGGACAGTCCTGAAAGACAAAGGTGCTTGAGATTCTGGAGTTGTTCACAGTCAGTTTCCCCCATGGTAGTGACTTGTGCATGCTTGTCTTCAGTGAGCAGCCTGTGCAGCACCTGTGAGCTGTGCCCCTCTTGCTCCGCACTGGTAACCAGACCCAGCTGCTCTGAATACCAATTTGCACTGATTATGGGTTTAATGTTCTGTCTTTGGCAGAAGGAAGAGATGCAAACTGTTTCTTTGTAGTTTGCACTGCCTCCTTTAAAATAACCTGAAGCAAAGCATCCTTCTGCTTGGCTTTTCTTGTACTACACCTGCAGTACACTTCAGTGCTCCCTCAGAGCCTTTATTGTTCATTCCTGATACATATAATACCTTCAGCACACAATATTAAACTTATTCCAGACTTCTTTTCTGTGTATGAGAACAGTGCCTCGTCTAGCAGAATAAGACCTCTGGCCACTCAACTTTCATTAAAAGACAATAGAATGGTGGGAAGAGGGGATATCTCTCCCAAACATGAAAGCAAAGGATGCCCAGCACCCACTATTTACAAGCCATGCTCAAACAAACATTTCCATCTTGATGCTTTCCACTGCAGCTGTCCCCAGGTAAATAATTAACTAACTAATTATGCCTTCCTTAGGCTTGCCTTTGGCCCTTAACATTCTTACTTGAGGAAATGCACTGGCTCCCATGGTCTCCTGGTCTACTCCTATGTGTGTGCAGAGGTAACCTACTATTTCTGGACTGAAATATTTTTCTGAGTTTGATTTGATTGTAGTAAGATTCTTGTTAAAGTCTTGGTATAATTATTTCTTTTCCTCAGTAGGTATTGCAGGCAAATCATATTCGCTCACTTGAAAGTACGTGTGTGTTGAGTAAAGGGTGATTGCTGCTGTAATAGGTGACTAGTAGGGACATTCCAATAGTGCAGTGTGTCTATTGATCACACAAGGTGTGGTCATGTTAACTCACTTGTCAAATTAAGCTAACAGTTTTGCCCTGATACAATTGCTGCTAGATGACAGGGTGCTTGGAGCAGGTTATGTATCCTCTGCTCGTCTCTTTGTGTATCCGTGTTTCTGGAGAGACTGGAAGACAGAAAAGATTTGACATGGTTTGTTTGTTTGTTTGTTTGTTTGCTGTTCTGAGTTCCAAAACAGGGAGAAAAAGTTAGAGAGCAGTGCTGAGAGAGGTCTGAGCCAAGCATCTCTGTGCAGCCCTAGCTGCCTTGGGAATGCCACGTTGGCTTCCTAACAGCTGCTGGCAGTGCTCTCAGATCGCTGTGTCAAACTAGTCAAGCCTCAGCTCGTAAGCTTGCGTGTGGTATCTACACGTGAGGAAATAGGATATGCCGTCTGCTCCTAAGTGATGTCATATAGGACTGCAGAGATGCAGCTGATTCTGTGTCACAGTCTCTAGAGAGCAAACTTTGGTCAGGAGAAGACTCGACTCCGCATTAGAAATAGAATGTGGGAGAAAGGTTAAACTGAACAGAAATAATTCCAAAATTAAGATGTATGGATCCTTTGTACCTGTCACAAATTTCATGCTAAGAATAATTCATAACACAATTAGCAAGAGAAAAATCACAGACTGGGAGTACAAAGCAAAGGGGAATTTCCTGAGCCAGTTAAATGCATTTAAGCAGAATGCTTCTTGCTCTGGCTTCCAGAGAGATATGCTGAAGTGTTGCAACTACCTATGTTCACTCTGTATATGTGACGTATGAGGAATCTTGAAGAACTTGTAACTTCAACTTAAAGAGAAAAACTAATTGCAGGTAACTCTGGAACAAGAATTTCTTCTGTGCGTTTAAATTAACTGTATCATAATCTGCCATAATTATTTCTTTTATCAGATTTGGTTACTTATTAGCTTTAGTCTCTGACTGCAAATGGAGTATGCGAGTGATTAACATCCCAACTGGTTGAATCCAATAAACTATTAAATACTTCTTCTGCATGGCAGGGGAAGCAACCACCTGCTGGAGCTGCCAGAGGCAGGGCTCCCTGCAGGGACCTGCAAGGAAACTGCTCACCTCCCTTGGCACCGAGAGCCCACCCTCAGGAAGTGATCTGAGGCCTCTCTTAACTCGAGTAACATATCTCACATACTGCTGCTTCATGCCAGTGTTTAGAATCTGAACCTGCTTTCAACCAAGTCATGATGGTTCTTCTATTGCTGTAAGTGGGAGCTGAATTGAATGCTTAGGCTCTGGGACCAGATCATCTAAACAGAATAATCTCCTTTTCCCCAGAGCACACTGAGATAGAAGCAGGTTGTGCCATTAGTTTTCTGCAGTCATTTGCCCCGTTCCAGTGCTGGAGTCTCACCTGCCCTGCCATTTAATTGAATGTAATGTTTAGCACTTAAAGTAGATGACACTCTGCATCTACAAAGCACTGAGAGGATATCATCTAATTAATTCTTTATCGTGTGTTACATGTGTTTATTTTTCTCTTATTTGGCAAATATCCCCTGAGACAGGGGGAAAGGTGATTTGCTCTTTGCAAGCTGCGGAAATTGCTTCCAGGAGAGGTTTGTAGACACGAGCTGCATGATGGGGAGCTCTTAGACTTGACATTAATTAGGTACGGTTTGCAGATCTGTCACGCGGCCAGGCTTCAAGACACAGAAATGCTCTCTTAAGGAGGGCCAGTGATGGTACTCATTGAGGGTAGTAATTACTTATTAAGTCATCGCGTTTTTGACAGATTAAAACACTCCTATAACACCTCTCAACCAACTCTTTGGATAAAAGTCAGGATAGAGCAAATTGGTCTCTCCTGTTCACCTAACTGCTACTTATTTTCTTCAAATAAAATCTGCTGAAACAATTGCTGTGGGACTGAAAAGTACTCATAAGTGAGGGAGAATTACTTTTCCATTTCAGCTGCATTTTGCAGGGCAGAACTGCTCTACTTGTAACTTCCTGATTCTCAGTTGTGAACACTTTTGAGAAGCAGAGAAAGAAGAAATTAACGGGTACAGCCCACTGCTCTAAGCTGCCAGAACACCACTCACCCAAGGAAACACTGTTATGCTGGCAATAGGAGACAGGAATGTCTTTCTTTGGGTGGCTGGCAGGAGGACTGAGGTTCAGCTGGGGAAGGTTTTGCAGAATCATACAAGGATGGATCACACTGTACCTCCCTGAGACTTTTCTCATTCTGTACCCTCCTATAAAGTTATTTACCATGATTACTAATGCACAATAGTAACATGACAAGTGAAAGTAGTAAAAATTGTGTTAAAACCTGCTGAAATTAAAGGATTAGGCCTAGTTTTGATCTAGAAGCAGGAGGTTCTTATTTGATGCAGTTCCTCAATCACACTGAGAACAAAGCAAAATGCTCTGATGACCTCTGTGACTCTTTTTCCTCAGTCTCTTTCCGTTAACTGTTGTATCCAGTCAAAATTATATTTTCTTCATCACAGGCTTTCTAATATGCTGTTGAAAGTGGATCAGCCTGCCTTGGTTATTTCCTTACAGGAGACTTACTCATTTACAACAGAAATCTGCAGTTTCTAATCACTACTAAGCCAGTGGTTACAGAGTTGAAGAAGCACAAGACAAAACCTGCGCGTATTCCAGACCCCACTGACAGACTCCATCGAAATGCTCATTTCCTGTTCTTTGTTGTTTCTCATTATTACCAGTGACAGCATTACTAATTACAGGCTACTGCGTTGATTCTTAGTCACAGTTCTTATCCTTTTGGCCAGGTACGATGGAGGTGCTCCAAGCTGCTGCCCTACATCTCTGCTGGCTAGCTGGATGCTTACACATCTCAAAATGAGCACTGAATTCTGCTACAGCTGGCCCAGAACTGTGGAGCCAGCATATTTACAAAATGGTGAGTGCTGCTTATGTGTCACAGGCACACAGATACGGCCAGCAATATTTTGTGCAGCTCAGAAAGCTGTGGCTACTCTCATAAACACACTTCTCCAAGCTTGGCAAAGTGTTCAGGCTTTCTTTAACTCCCCAGATGGGATTTATTTATTTTTCTCTTTAGTATTGCTGAACATTTTAACATCTACTGTCTTCTGTGGCCAGAAGTGGGAGGAATTTATTAGCAGCTCTCCAGCCTTGCTGATCCCCTTCTGCTGCAGGTATTGGCCCTGCTGCTCTGTGCCTGCTGTGTGCAAAGTATTTGTGCACAAAGTCTGCCATCAAGTGGCCTTGTCCCCA